CAGGCAGCTGTGACCACAGAGGTCCCCTTGCCTCACCTCCTCCGCCACCCTTGCTCAGTTCATGCCTTCAAATAGACCCTTCCTTCACTCGATGTTCCATCTTGCTGATCAATGACTTCATTCAGGCGAGCTCTCGTGGAGTTGAGAGTCCATTTAAGGTGACAAGGAAGATTTGCAGACATTGCACTTTCCCAGAAGTTCAGAGAAGTGCTGATGTGCGCCAAGAAGAAAACGAATTGCACCAGCTTCCTAGCTGAGGCGGGGAACCTTTTGCTTTTATTTACTTATTTAGTTTTTGTTGTTGTTGTTGTCGTTCATTTAAGGTTGGATATATAGGGCTGGATAAACATTTGAAGGCATGTTCTATCCTCTATAATTCTTGCACTACGCTTGTAAGGAAATGATTTACTCCATCTGCGTAATAGAAGTGACAGATTTATCTATTGCTAGGAAGAAAACTAAAGTTGAAGTATAAGTAGCCTGGAAGCCATAGTGGAAAGAACTTATCTTATGTGGAAGTGAAGCCTTCATTGATCCATGTCTTATGACTGTGACAGACAGCATCATGGGAACCAGAAACATCTTAGTGTTGTCAATGGGGGGATTTCATGTGTTTTGACAAAGATCCCTGTGTTACTTTTGTCAGAATTATTTTCTTAATTGGCTCAAAGAGTGGCGGATTAGAAGATGAGATTGAAAGGGGAGCCATACCCACTTGTCCATAGGACCCCGAGAGTCTTATATTGGGAGAGATTCTACCAATGCTGTCGACTGTAAACATGGAAAACTACAATTCTTATGGCAGCAAACTTATCTTATGACGTGGGTCAGTGAAGACTTCACTTCCACTTATGGCAGCAAACTTTTCAGCACAATTACACTGAAATTTTGTAACTATGGGCACATATTGTTCCTCTTCTTCCCCAGGTACCTGTTAAATAGTTAAGGTCACACTCACATTTTTTTGACATTTGAGTGCTTAGTCCTTGTTTTAGACAAAAAGCACAAATTGTCAATATGATTGTATATAATTCTCTATGCCTTTACTCTGCTAATGAGAATTTTGGGCTTCTAGTCACTTGAAGCTGAAAAATTAACACTAATATTCTTTTGCTCTCCACTACATCTAACAGAGAAACGTAAAGGAAAAGAAATAAAATTGGATCAGGATATCGTAGGGAGAATCTCCTCTTTAGCATAGAGGCTGACTCCAAATGGCGACACACAACGGGAAAAGGCATACAAAAGGGTATAGACCAAACCCAGTTGTTTGAAAAAAGGCAGTATTTTTGATAATTTAGGTTCAGACACCCATTTGTTTATATGCTGTATTAGAAATGTGTTTGTGTGTGTGTATTTGTATGGATGTGTTTGCGTGTATGTGTGTATGTGTATAGTTTGTGTACGCTCTGTGTGTAGTGAGTATAGTATGTGTTTATGTGTATTTATGTCTATGTGAGTATGTGTAATGTTTATAAAACATGTATTAGATTAGTATAAGGAATAGTAATTTAATGAGTTATGAAACAATTAGTATTGGGGCAGATTTTTAGGTAGAATGCAGTATAATAATGACCAAAAATAAATCCCCTGCCTCTTTTGAATAAGTTCAAAAAATGATAAATAAATGTAGAATGAGTTCTATGATAGCCTGCCAGAATAGTAGAGAGAAGGATCCACCCAAATTGAGTTTTGAAAGATATAGTTATAGGGAAGGGGAACATACTTGAGCAGAGACATCGACATAAAAATGAGATGAGTCATGCGGTATTTTAGGAAGAGCATTCCAGGAGTACCCAGGAGTAAATGATGTCAATGGGCCTTTGCTTCACATGACTCCAGTCTCCTTTACTATGCTGAAAACATTTGAGCCTCCATCTCCTCAGCCTCAAAATGAAGACAACTCTTTATGCATCTCCCACTGGCCAGGAGACTGGAATGGTTTCAGAAAGGCTGCCAGGCCAAGCCTGGCTTACTCCAAGTTGTATAACAGTTAACAGAGTTAATTGTAGCAATTTAAAAATGTTCTCCAATCAATGGAAGACACCATGGAATTGTTTTCCTTTGATGCCCTTAAGTACCTAATTAATGTCTACTTGATCCAGATATTTTTACTGAGTGTCACGAGCTTTCAGTTCCTTTGTAGTTCTGTGGTTGGGCTACGGATCTGCGCACAAGATTAATATATAAGGCTTGTGCTGTTGAAGTCTTCATATGCCCTCGAGTTCACCCACACCACTCTTCCTAAAACTTAGTTATGTTGGGTGACCTTGATCCTCAGCTTGAGTGTTGTTCAGGTGGAAGTTCCATGTTTTTTTTTTTTTTTTTTTTTTTTTTTTTT